AAGAGGCACGCATACCTAAAATATCATGAGAGAGATCATGATGATCAGGAGGTACGCCAGTGTATTTCTTTCAGCACGCTCGTAGTCTCAGGACGTGCCAGGCGTTATCTGGGAGGCGAGGCTGGGGCTGCAGCATTCCCATTATGTCAGAGAGAAGCTGTTAGTTTTTAAGTAGCGTCAGGCTACGAGGCAATGCAGGCTTCTCACATGAACTTGCTTACACTACAATACTAGTAAATCATGATTATTACCCAATGGTTGCATGTTTTTAATCATCAAAGTACTTAAAATATTATAATGCGTGGCACTTTTCAACTTCAAAGCATGCTGCAAGCAGTAATTAGGTCTAATAACCATGCTGTGACAGTGAGACATTGCTATCTCTTGCCTTACAAAGGTGAGGGGGGTGTTAGCCCCCGACGCGGTTGCATCATCCCGTGTGAGACTGGAGATCTACCACTGACGGCTGCAACTCGATAAACTCACCTCCCTGTAGGCAAATACCCACGGCTAGCAGCCACAGGGAGGGCTTTGAAGATGCTTTCCGGGCTTGTGGGGAGGGGACAGGACACTTTCAGTGCTCATCTGGAGCACCTCCTGAAAACTGTAAAACCTGGCCTGATTCACATTTTTTTCCCCAAGGGCCTGGAGCAGCTTTTTAAACAGCGCTGGAAAAAGTTTTACCCCATCTTGGCTTCCTGGCTGGTGAGTTTTCACCACCCAGCAAAGTGCTGTGAAGACTGGGGAGAGCAGTTGTGGACAGCCTGTGTCAACTGTGGGTCATTTTTCTTTTGCAAGCTGGATCTTTGAGTTGAGTCCTTCACTGAAGCAGCACCTCTTCCGTTCCTTCCTTTTAGTTTGCAACACATAGGAGAGAAAAATTGTGCAGTAATTGCTAGACGCATTGAAATACCAGAGACTCACTGGTTGAATGTGAAAACTAATGTTAAAAACCTAGAGCCGATTCTGATTTTATGTATATTTTTTAAAGATCCAAAAGCCTGCTTTGTTTTGGATGTTTGTCATGTTGGCTGCAAACACCAGTTGTGATCATTCCTTGGGACAGAGTAATTTCTGGTTTGCATTTTATTAACTTCTACATTATTTACATGAAACTGCACTCTTTGCTGGAGCATTTTTGAGGTCTCTGCCTCCCACCTGAGGTGGTGGAAGCCCCCCTGTGCTGGTGCTTGCTACCCCTGAAATGTGTGGGTGTCAGCCAAGAAATGTAGAAGTTATTTGCAACAAGGATTTGTTGTCACCGTGAGCGCATAAGCTGCATTTTCTACAATAAAACAAGGCTCCAAAGAGCACTCAGGGAATAAAGGGCTTCCCTGTAAAAGCTGGTATTAGGTGCCTGCTTGCGGGCTGCAGGCTGGGCGGCTTCTGCCCCATCCTGGTGTCCCCCTGCGCATTCCTGGCCGACTGCTGCTCCTCTGCTCAGGTGTGAAACACGGCTTCTTCCTCGCTGCTGCTGAAAACTGGTCTGACAGGGCAGGCATGCCAAGGTGGTATCTAGCAGGAGGTGGAAAGAAGCAGTGTTTGTGAAACACTGTACTTGTGAACTCTGTGCTAGGCTGCTCATTATAACTACTCATTATTATTATGATGAGCTATCGGCAAGTTGTATCAAGTTTTGTCAGAATCTCTTGACACTTTTGTTTCAATATTATGAAAGCAAATAGTAACCCGGGCTTGGCTGTGCTCAGTTATTCAGAGGAAAGCCAAGCAGAAGGCTCTGTGTACCAGTGGGCAGGATGGTGGTGCCCCGTCCAGCTGGCCAGGCATTTGACTTGGCTGGCTAAAGCAGCATTAGACTTTTTAACTTGTAATCTCTGCCTGATTGACAGTAATGGGTTACAGCTACACGGAGCAGGCTGGTGCTGTGCAGACTCCCAAGTTATTCCAGGACCTTGAGAGGTAAAACCGCCTTGTCCAGTACACGGAGCTCTGGGCAGGTACCCTAACATCCAGGTGTTGCACCACTGCTGCACAGCTGCCCTGGGGCTGGGAGGTACCAATGCTGCAGCTCCTTGGGCTTTGTGTCTCCCTGACTGCAACTGCCAGCTCTTTCTCTAGATTGCAGTGTTCACACAGTGCCCAGGCACTCACAGAGTTTGGTGTCTGACTGTGTTCGATGCCGTCATTTAGCAAACTCTTCTGGAGGGTAAATGGAATGTGTGGTTTTGCCTTTATTTCTAAAATACAGTATGTAGAAGCCAATATAGTGCAGCCACAGCTATTTGTGTGATAACTTGCTGTTTCTTGTTTATGAGGTAATTATTGTACAGTCCCTGAGTGAAATTCCTTTAAGGTAAAAGGCCTGTCTATCTTATTAATTATTGCTAACAATAGTAATTACTATGTGAGCAAGCTGCTTGCCTGCTTTATGAGTTTAGGCAAGTTGGTTCCCTAATAGGTGGCTTGTTTTTTTTCAGCTATAAAATGGGGAAAATGGTATTTTTCCTCACTTTTGAAAGGTGACACTCTGCAAGTGCTGTGTAAAACAGAGCTGTTTTTACCACATCAGCTGTATGGAAGGGGAGGTCAGGGGTCTGTGTCTGGCAGGCAGAGAGGCTCACAGAGTGGGGTGTGAGCAGTGAGCTGGGGCTCACAAGTTGTGCGGTGGCTGAGATGCAGGCTCATGGCTTTGCTGCACTGGGGTGAGGTGATGTTGTTTCATGTCACAGGGCAATTTGCTGCCAAACGCATCTGATAACATAAGCATCTTTGAGAGCCAGTCCAAAACATCTGTTTTTCGTTGTTTGTTTTGGGTTGTAGGCTTCCCGCTCCTTCCCAGTCTGGGAAATCTCTGACCCCATTGGCTTCTGCCAGTGATGCTTTATTAAGGAAACAACAGGAGCAGAATTTGTGGTGTTTATATCAACCTGAGCACTGCCAGGCTCTGTACAGTGGGATATGGAGCGGGATGTACAGGTCCTCGTGCACCTTCTGCAGTGCCTTGGGAGGTGCTGACACCTCCCTGAATTAGATCGTTCCTTTCCTCTGAGAGTCTTCCAGCAACGAAGTTCAAGATTTGCCCCTAATTATCTCTGCTGCTTCCAACCATAATGTGTGTGTGGTGAGGGTGATGGCCAGGGCTTCTCCACCTGAAACAAACGCCCCAACTCTGCACCAGCAGTGTGTGTGAGCAGGGTGGAAGTGCTGCATCAGTACTTCCAAGGCAAGTCCCTGTTCTGAGTGCAGCCACTTCATTTCTGCCATCTAAAGATGAGTCATCTATTAAGGCTGGTCTGGCAGAGCCAAAATGTCCTTTAAACAGCCATTCTGGCCTCTTTGCTTTTCTTCCTTCCCCTCCATTTATCTTTCCTTTACCTTTCACTGGAGAGGTTTACAAACAGCTTGGATAAGCAGGAGGGAAGATCTAGAGGTGGCTGCTCCTGCATCAGTCGAGCAAGGCCCATGAGCCCCTGATTGCTGTCCCAGCCTGTGCCTTGTTTTGGTAGCATGGACCAGTTTTACCTAAGAGCCTTGGAGGAGATGGGACAGTCTCAGCCCATACCACCAGGCTCCTGCTCCCCACCAGAGCTACCAGGCTGGAGAGACAAACAAGAGCTGACTCCACCTACCAGCAGTATGGAGACAGCAGCCCATGAGATCGACAGCCCAAGAATGTGCACACAAAAGAAGCTTTTCCCTCCGCCACGACAGTAAAACCGCCAGACAACCACATGCAGCATGTGATTTCCCAAAAGCATCAGCCCAGATCCCAACTTCTTTGTGCCACACGCTGTTTCCCAGGATCAGATCACAGTCGCAACGTGTAAAAGGCACTGTCAAGCACTGAAAATTAATAATATTTTCCTCAACGTTGTTTATGGAAACGGTGGACAGCACTCCTGCCTCTCTGTGCTTGGCCAGCTGGCTCAGCTCGCCAGCCCTCAGAGTCAAACCCTCTGCAAAGATTGGCGGTGTTTGTGGTGGAGCTGCTGCTCTGTCCAGTGGGAGATGTCCAGGCTTATTCTGTAGAGTAAAAGGTTTGGCAGTGACTTGGGAGGGGTGGTCTGTTGACCTGTAAACACAGAGTCTTGTGCTCTGTCGCTGCTCACAGCAGCCCATAGCAAGCACCGTGCCATCTGCTTGCCAAGGCTGCAAATGGCTGATGAGAGCACCCAAACGTTTGGGAGCTTTGGCCAGTGGGACTCTGGCACAGAGTGGAAATACGGTGAGTCAGGATGAGTGTGGTTTCCCTTCTCCCTCTCTGGTTTTATACTGATAAAGTGGCATTGCTTTCAGTGGAGAAGCTCTACTGTAAGACAGATTGGATCTGCTGTATCTAAAACTGTGGTTTTTGAATTCCTGGGTTTAATCCTTTTTATTGGGACTGTCTGGAGTCTGTTGAGCATTTTGTAGCTGTAAAGGGAGCCCTCTGTTAACAGTGATCACAGGCTTTGTCAATCCAGCTCCGCAAGCGCTAATGAAATGGCAAATGTCCAGACTTGAAAATTAGTTTTCTGCTCTCCCCTCTGTCAAATGTGCCTTGTACTGCTTAAGTATGACAGGGAGCTGTGGGTGTAGCTGCTGTGGCATTGGTTAATGTATTATTTTTAAAGATGACAGGAGCATCCATATGCAGTATCCCTTGTTTGGTCCTCTGGAGACAAACACATCACTGATGGTGCTTGCAGTGGACGTATGCCTGCTGTGATTTCACCTGCTAAGAAAATTGTCTCAATTTACAAATGAGCCTTTCCCCCCAGCATAACCATTTATTGGGTTTAGATTTCAAATTTTCCAAGAACTGGTATTAGCCGGGTTCCATAACCTGCACTGAGAAGTAACGTTTATTGATAAGGAATTTGTTAAGGCAGGATGGAGCCAAGAGCCTAACCCTCACCCGTGTCTCTGGAGGAACCCTCTGGGGAGGAGAGGGGCCTGGAGGCACCCACACGGTGCAGCAGGGTCTGCTTTTCACTGTGCATCCTGAAGGACTGGGTTGAGGAGGGAGCAAAAGTTCTGACGGTACCATATTTTAACAGGGAGAAGACTACGAGGAAAAGCATTCTACAATGTCAATGGCAAAGTATACTGTGAAGAAGACTTCCTAGTAAGTAAGATTTCAGGCATAAAAATGTTTTTATTGGCATTGTTTTTAAACAGAATTGTTCTTTTTTATTGGCTTGTTTGCTTTGAGAGATGGGTTAGTCATCTGGGGCCTCCTGCCAGTGCTGGAATTGGGAAGCATTTACCACCAACTCCATAAAGGCAGGATCAGGCCCTCAGTTTGAAGTGGTGGCTATGAAACTGAGTACATAACTGTCCATGAGCCATCACAAAGTGTAAATTATGAGAATAAACACTGGAGCTGCTTGGGCTTGGGACTTGAATTGCAGCCACAAAGCCTCGCCTGCCAAGCTAGAGCTCAAAGTCAAACATCTGGGGAATACCAATCATAACAAGAGGGAAGACATTTCTGACTGGAGCACGTCATCGCCGTGCACAATGTTGCTTTGTTGCAGGCGCAGTTTTAATCACTGCTCTGCTCAGAGTGATGTGGAGCTGCATTGTGATTAGCTAAAAACTGTTAGCCACGGAGGAGCAACTAATTTTCTCTCCATGTGCCCAGAGCTTTTATAAATGCTTTACTTTAATAGAGACTGAGTAATGAAAAGAAAAATGAAGCTTGTTGCTGAGCTGTGTTGTTCCGAAAATAAAATATTTGTGCAATTAAGGGTGAGGATTGTGCAGTACACAGAGAATGATTTGATAAGTGGCAGACCATTTATAATTAAGAGGACAGTGTGGCTGGGAATTGAAATTAGAGAGGAATTATATATTTTAGCTTAGAGGATGATGAATTGAAGAATCGGTACGTTGAATTTATACCGTCTTTATTTATTGAAATACCATTCATTTAGAAGCTTGGGTCTTCTAGAACGACTTTCCATTTCTAATGAGTTTATGGTCATGCTTTTGCAAAGAAATTATTGAAAGTATATTCCACAACAAAAATGTTACTGGCAGTTCAGAGCGTGCAAATGCGTTTCTCATCAATGCAATCCATAAAAATCGTGGAAATTCCTAAAAAATAACCCATATTTACCTTCCTGTGTTACACCTTTAGTCTCAGCTTCCCACAGCTGGAGCCTGATGAAAAGAACAAACTGTATTTTATGCAGAAAATAAGTTTTGTGCTACAATTGAAATGTGTTATTGTTTTGCTTGCATTTTAGAGAGAAAATTATTTTTTTTCTCCCTTTTTTAATCTTTTTCCTGTGTTTCTGCAGAAGCACAGGAAGAGGGAGAAGTGGTGGACTGTGAGGCAGAGGGACTCAAACCTTTGAAATTTTCAGTTTGAACTGTGTTGGAACGTACTTTCCCCATGATCAAAACCTTTCATCCAGACTTAATGACATGATTGTTAGTAGCTTGTAAATTCAGCCTAGACATGAGAATTTGAAATCTAAAATCTCAATCTTCTGGAGAGCGTTCATTTTTCAAGGAGGGAAACCTCTTTAGTTCTTAGACATGTTCTGTAATAGGCTTCTGGAGGGAGATACTTGCAGGGATTTTCCCAGGAAAACTGAGGTTACAGTTGTGATAGGAATAAGCTGGGAAACTGCTGGGACATTTAAGGCGCAGAGTTAAAAGCCCAAAGCTGCCACAGGTGTGTCTTAGCACATTCCCAGCAGCACAAAGGGATCAGAGAGAAGCAGACCAAGGGACTCATTACTGCGTAAGTCAGTAAAAGAAATGAAATTCTGATGTTGTCTCTGCTTGTGTGAAGCCAGCTGCTTCTCAGAAAGGCATTTCATCTTTCTCTGGTTCTCCTGAACAAACATCATAGCAAGAATACTAGGAATTGTCTTGTTTCCCTAATAAAATAAAACAACTTTGCCTGTTTTAGAGTTCTGTGGACAGAGATAAGTCAGAGGAAAAGGGTACAAAGTAGCAATTAAAAAGAAAATAATTTTAATTACTTCATATTCTTAGCTCTTGCTCCTAACCACTTGAAAACCCCAATCCTCTCTAAAAAGAGGTGTTTTCAGTCCAAAGCAGGTAACCAAATGGTTTTTCTGTATAACTGAGAATTTCAGTCTCTACTGTAACTCTAAATCTTAGTCCATATTCATCTATGGATTCCCTGCTGACAATATGGTAGTGGGATGTCAGGGAAATTAAAGATGACGGGGGAGAGGGGGGTGTATGGAAAAAAGAATTTTTAAAAAAATTGCTTGAGGATTAATTGAGCTGATCTTGCACTCTGTCCTCTGACCACTACCATGTGAGCTTTGCGGGCTCTGCCTATAGCAGAGCTATAGGAGCTGCTAGGCATTGTAACAGTCGGAGGAGTTGTCCCATACCCTGAATCCGGAGGTGTCCCACAGAGATGTGCTTCCTCTCTCCCTGTGTGCCCGTGCCCTGTCCCACAGCAGCTGTGTGAGCACACGCTCCTGCCCTTGACACTTCTTGCACTGGAGACTTGGTTCTTAGCTTGTTGCAGCATCTTTCTGTCCAGTAAATGCAATCAGAAGCAGAGTGGGTCACATTCTGGTCTCATTCTTAGGTAAGAGCATAAGAAAAAGATCATTTTAATTTGGGGAGGTAAACAGAGGCAGTCTACATATGTTATAATTGAAGTATATTCCTGCCAAGGAAATACTGTCTCCCATTGGTGTCCTTGATTTCCTTGGCTTTTGTTTGCCTGGGAACTGATCAGGAGAATGAGATGCTCCTATAAGGATGGGAGCCTGGTCTCAGCTCTGAGGAGTTGCAATCCCACAGTTTGTGAACAAATTATTGCAAGTATGACACAAATGTAACAGGAATTAGAAATCAGACTGGCTTCAGAAAATTTGGGCAGGCGGTACCGTGCTGTCATGCTGGGCTCATTGGTGAAATCCATGTAATAACTGAATTGGAGGGGCCTGTGCATAGGTGGGAGGACTTGTAACAGCTGGATGATCTTCCTGTGGATTCCCAGGGACAGATGTGAGTAGTTGATGTTTTATTGCTCACAGTCCCGCCAAAGCAGCGGTGGTCTGCAAGAGTCCCCCATTTGCGCTTTCTCTAATTCTTGCAGAGGTCTGTCCATCCCCACTGCTACCTCCATGTATCCCATTAATTCACTGCAGATGCTGCTCCCCTGTCATTCGTGGCATCATACTGGGAATGTCCTGCAGGCCAGTCCAGGCAAGGCACAGGGTCTGCAGTAAGTTCTCCTTTGGGACTGCAGTAAATACCACGTGAACAAGGATAGGCAGAAAAGCTGAACTGGTTCTTGCTGTGAACCAGTCAATGTAGGAAATTTTAGGGAAGAATGGATATTATTTATGGTTTTCTTCACATGGGAACTGTTAGAAATGTTTAACATTTCCCTATAGATGTCAGTATTTTAATTCTCCCGCACTACTGCTGTTTTCTGTGTTAAAATGGCTCCTTCCGGAGCAGTCTCCAGAGCTGTAGTTGATTGCTCATATGCGATGCCTGGTTCTTTAACTCCCACTCACTCAGGACAGACCAGCTCGCTCTTTTTATCAAAGGTGATACAGGGAATACACTGCAGTATTATTTACGGTCCTTGAAGCCAAGACCTTGAGAAAAGCCATTATCTGATCCTTATAAATGTTTGGCACCCATTGTAAGAGCAGGGCTTGTCCTCCTTGGCTAAGCTGTCCCTTTTGAGGTTCCTCACAACGCTGGTGCCAGCCGCTCTGGGGTGTGTCCCTTCCACCCCAGAGGCAGTGCCCTTCAGCGGTGAAACGCTGTGTGGGTCACTTAAAGCACAGCGAGTGCCAGAGAGCTTTGGCTACCAAGTTGTTGCAAAAAAATTGATCCGTAAAAGTGTGACGTGAGGAGCCGCTAGCATCAAGCATTCAAAATGTGACCCTTTCTTTGAAAAGTGCTTTTGATTTCTGGACGAAAGGTGTTAGAGAAATGTAGATGTTATCATTCATTATGAGCAATTTCCACTGCGCAGCCATAAAGCTATCCAAAACGCAGATACACCCATCTAAACCCTCGGCAATAGCCGCAAGGTACATTCTTCTAGCAAATAGTTTTCCCACATGTTTGCTCTTACTGAGGGCACGTATTATCTTTCTCTGAATCAGGCGGCTTATTTTGCTCGTTCTTTCCAGGGAAGAAGCGCGATAAGTTTTTAGTCCCACTGGTGGAGTTGTGGATGGGGAAGGGATGCCACGTGCTGCAGTCGTCCTCGTGAGAAACTGTTCTGGCCTTCTGTGCTGGGGGTGCAGCGGGACGGGCGAGGGCTGGGAAACCCTCACGCCTGGAGGACACCGCGTGCCGCTTCCTTCTGCTTCCAGCCCTGATGAGCTGCACATTCTCTCAGTGCTCAGACCCAAACCATATTGGCTAAATGTAGTAAATGAATCAGATTAAAAAAAAAAAATCGACAGATAATTCCACTTCATGGTGGAGAGATTGCCTAAGCCACGCAGTTCCCATTGGGAGCACTGCAGTAGCGATTTTGCATGTTACTGAGTGTAAGAGGTAAAAAGAACAAAATCAAAACCTTGTATTTTTCATGGCTTTGCTTTAACTCCGAGGAAGATCTTGCTACTCTTTTTCATGCCACCTTAAGGTAGCAAGTCCAGCAATATCCAAGTCTTGCCTCAGCCCTGTTAGGATAGTTATTTCATGAAAGGAAATAAAACAAATGACAGTTTAATCCTTCCCTGAAAGCTCTCAGGACACAGATGGCTAACTAGCCATAACAGGGACACTGTTCCTGGTGAAGTGAACAAAAAATAAATGCCTCACTGTATAATAAATAATCCCAGTCAGATGTTCTTGTTCCATTTTGTTGATAAATTGCTGCATAATCATGGGTGAAGGAAAAATAGCTCAGTAATTTTAATTTGTCTTTCCTTTTCAATGCTTAAATATCATGTGAAGAAATTACTGTTTTTCTTGGCAAAAAAAGACTTTAAAAATGTCACCAAAGCAGCCTGAATCTTAGATCTATTATCTCTTTTTTTTTTCCTTCTTTTTGATAGGCTTTTCCTTTTTCTCTTGAGGTAATGAACATTATTGAGTGGGGGTCCAGTAGAGGTTAAGAAATGAGAGAATTTCCCTCCAGGGAGG